AATATATATATATATACTATAAAAATAGAAATGCTTAGAATAATACTTATAGAATATTTATAAAAAATATATATAATCATAAATTATCTAAATTTAATTATATAATTAAGGAAAAATTTTGGTAATAATATTCATATTACGTTTAAGAAATAAAATTCTTTCAAATAAAATTTTATTTAGCTGTGTTCTTTTACTAATCATAATATTTCTGCTATTAGAAAATAAACATTCACTAGCAGTAGAAGTAGCAGGAATTGAAAGATATTTTTGAGCTAAATTAGAAAGAATTGAAAATTTTGTTTTTTCATTATCTTACCAAGTAAAAGAATTAGCATTATAGCTTATTTTCTTTATTTCTAAATATAAATCTACTTCATTACGTTCTAATTGCTCTTGATTACCAAACATAAGATTAAGTAATTTATTATTTATATTAATATTAGTAGATTTATGATAAGAATTAGTTTGATTTGTATATTTTTGAACTAAATCTCGTACAGCTTCAATTGCTTGCTCTCGTTTCTATTCAAAAAATTTATCTATTTTTTTACATCATGAATCTAAAAATATTGCAATTAAAGAACTTTCTAAAGGTAATTTCCAATAATATTTTAACGCTTCATATAGTACATTTTTTACTTTATATACTAGTCCCTTAGTTTCAATAGACTTATTTACATTTATTTCTTTAGCATCTATAGTAATTTCAATTTTATTATTATAATCATAATCTACAATAATTTCTTTTTCGTCAAATATTGTAATAATATCATCAAAATTTATATTATCAGATTCAGATTCGATTTGATAATTCTTATCATCACTTGCTTTAGGTTTACAATTTTGTAATAATACTTTAATTGCTAATAACATAAAGCTTATAGTAGAATAAGTACTACCTTCAAGTAAAGTAGTTGCTTCGGCAAAAGGTGCTAATAAATTTATTAATTATTCTAATATTTGCCATTTATTTTTAGTTAACATAATTGCATAAAGTCACTTAGCATCTTTTTTGATATTATAATCAGATTCAGCATCTATTGTTGCTAACATTATATCTAATACTTTTTGAAGTTGTAATAATCGTTTTCAAGATATATATAATGAATTCTATCTAGTAGACACATCTGCAATTGCTCGAATATATATTTCTTTTTGCTTATTAATTTCATCTTCAGATATTCGAAGTACCTTTTGAGCTTCTATTAAACATTCAGTTTGTTTTGGTAATAATAAAAAATTAATTAACCTTTTAGTTTGAATAACTAGCAGGCTTAAGTCCTTTTCTAATTGCTAATTGAAGTGTATAGACAGCACAGAGAATTTTGTCTATATTTTTTATAAGCTTAATAGCCTTGATCATATTTATCATATTATCACTTATTACATGATCAACTTTATTATTTAACCCAATCATTAATAACTTTTTCTAAAATAGTTGCAATTGTTTTAGAATCATGAGAATAAGAAACATAATACATAGCTAAGTAATCTCATTTAATTTAAACTCTGAATTAATAAAGTGACAAGTAATACCGAAATAACCACTTCATGATTGAGCTGTCCAAAAATCACATGTTAAATTGTATAAAGTAAGATCTTTATTAAATAATGTTTTTAATTCATTAGTTGAATAAATAAATGCTTGATAAATTAAGGTTTTAATATATTTGTCAGACGGTAATTCATAAGATGGATCTAATAAATTTATAAATTTAATAAAAGCATGACTTTTAAGTAAATAAAATAGTTGAGAATCTTCAATTATAAATTCTACTAATGCTTGATAAATTGCTTCTATCTGATTGATATGATTAGTTGTAGATTTTTTAAATATAACATCAATTTTTAGTTGTGAATTGTTTGCTTTATTTATAGCCAATTGCGGTTTTACAATTTCATGACTAAGTAAGTGAGTTGCAAAATTTGTTGTTGACCCTTGTGTATGAACTATAACTTCACATTTACATTTTTCTTTATTATTAT